ATTCGCAATGTAAAAAAACCAGCTTAACATATCTTTGTTAACCATTTCTGATGTTATGAAAACTTGTATGTTTTTCACTAAATTAGCTAATACACTTTGAAAAAGCAAACAAGCCTTTAAACAGAAAATTCCTTTATCACATTCATTGATTATATTCACAATTCTAGCTCACTAAATGGATGTCTGATTAATAGGGAAACTAAGTAGACAGCAATGATGTATTTATAATCTACTCATTATTTAGTTTATACACCCACAATATGAAAAACACTTCATGATACCAATGAAGTATGCGTAGCTGAAAAAAATACTGCTTATTCATTATGTTCTAAATAGCCTTTTAATTTATGCAGACATCACATACAGCTGAATAAAACAAAGATGCTATTTGATAAAACAGGGCTTCGTCAAATATATCTTAAAATATGAAACAGTCTCATATAATTGCCACAATATTGAGTACTCAAAACCTACCCCTGTAATATATGAAGGAGCTGCTTGATTCCACCCCAAATTCGGATTTCCACACTAGTCTCAGGGTCTTCACAAACCTGTACTAGAATCCAAACTACACTCCATAGAAGTTTGATATGATCAGAATGGAGTAAACTGAGCAAGACTGGAACTCCTTCATATATTTTTACTTGCTTTTTGATTTGTGGCTCTGCACAGAGAAGACGTAGCAACTCTGCTGTAAGCCTAAAAATAATCAGCAAGAAATGTTATTAACTCCATCATTACTTTGTACTGTCAGACAGCAAACAGAAAAAACACACAGCAAATGTTTAAGAAAGAAATGAGACCTCCTATGAAAAAAAAGAAATTAAAGAAAACTGCTTAAAGTCACTGTAAACTGGTTAAATTCACCGTCTAAAAAAAAAAAAAAAAGAAAATGAAGAAGGTGGTCCAAATTTGCACAAGGGATTAAATTGTATTTACATTGAGTTTGACTGTCAGCATAGGCAACAGCCAGGATGGAGGTGGCCAGGTGGGCTGTAGTCATCCATGGTACCACCTTCTTATTAATGGCGTTAGTACTACAAGTAGCACTGACTGCATGAACTTGTAAAATCCATCTGTGGAATTAGAATAACTCCACAAGTAATCATGATTCTTCTCCAGTACAGTTTGAATATTATATTTACAAAATATATATGGATATATCATTTGAAAGGTTTATACAGGATTTTCATTAACTTCAATTAAGGTGGACTTTCCATAGAAAATATGGTTAGGGATTTCCATTGCCACTGGAAGCAAAAAAGCTGCATGTGTGTTTGATGAAACATATGAATTCAGATTCATATCTGAATTAAAAATTATTCTTAACTAGCACTGAACTTCACGGGCTCCCTGTCTACACTTGAATTCCAGCTTTTATAGCAAATTTTTGGTTTACATGTAATCTAAATAATTTCAAACTCAGAAATGAAATAAAATCTTTTAGTCATATGTAAAATAATTTACATGCGTGAAATAATTAAGCAAGTAATTTTTAAAAATCTCTTCAGAATATTAATGTGATAGGATAAATGACACATCATCAAATTTGAGAGTCTTTTGGTTTCTTACTGAAATGCAGATATACTATGATGAACTAGCAGGCTTAGCTGAGAGGAGAGGACATTTAAAGAACTGAAGGAACGTTTATGATTTTCTGATTGAAGGGCTATAGGGTCTGACCCAGCCTCTGGCATAAACTGCAACAGCTATATTTCTTGCAATTTTTCAGTAGTTCATATCAGACATCCCAGGAACTGTCAGAGTTGAGCGTGCTTTCCATCTAACCACTCAGGTCTGCTAGAAGCAAAGAGGAGATGCACCAAGAAAAGCGATTGCTATCACCTTATGGTGACATTGCAATTTATTTGCACTGCACTGTAGGCCATCAGTGGACAGAGAAGAGACAGCTTATAACAAAACTACTAGAAAAGATTTTGCTATATCAATATCTGACTGAAAATACATGGGTATCAGAACTTTACCCTTAGTATATTAAAGTGTCACATTATTTAAATTCCTCTAAATAAACATGTCCCTAAATGAAAAAGTCAAAATATATTTTAACACATTTAATCTACAAGCAAAGTCTCACCTTTTAGAAAGCAAATCGTATTCATGTAATATCACCAGCAAATTCTCAACAATGGTGAGCTCACTTATCTTCTCCCTACATTCTGGACTACAAATTGATTATTTCTGGTATTTATATCAAATTAAATTATATGAAAAAAACACATTGCTTTTTAGCCTCCCTCCTTATACATCTGACCGATTTTTTTTACCTCAAGTCTTAAGTAATAATATCATATTGTGCACACAACTATTTAAAGCCACAAAAATATGCTGGATTGAGAGTGACACTGCAACAATTGCCAATTTTTCCAGTACAAAAAAGTAAATGTGAATGCACAAAAGACATAAATGTATTTCATTTGTTTCATACTAGAAATGAAGCAAATGAGGTACATTTTTAGAATCAAATACAATTTCCATGAAAATTTGTAATATACTCCACTTTCTTGCCCAGTCCAAATGTAATACGTTCAATTCTGTGAAGAAAGTTAAAAGGAAGTTGAAAATGTATGTATAACATCATTTAAATTAATACTGATATTAAAAAAAATAAACTGAAATAGAATGAAATAAATTTGGGAAAAGAGAAAATCCAGAGAAATCTTAGTAAATAAATTCTACTGATCTCAAGGAATTATATCTATTCTCTTCAGTTTTGTAATTTTCCTTATAATTTTTCATTTAAAACATAAAATTATTATACAAGTCTGGAAGTCAACAGAACAATAATGTAGAAGTAGCAGCTTTTCTTCCATAAAACTACTAAGGATGAAAGACGCTGTATCTTCCTTTTCCTTTTTTTCCCCCTCCACACCAGGAAAAAAAAGGTCTTTTCTTTATTTAAAATGGTCATTAGCAAAGACAGGATACACATACATGTATCTGAGTGTATGTATTCATTATTTACTACACTGAACAATATTCTTGCTGTTTATTGTGAGGCACTGTTATATTAAGTTCAGTACAAGAGATTTTTCTATGCAGGAATTCAGTAAGAATTACAGAATCCTGCAGAGAGATTGCAAAGAGAGATTCTATGACTCCAGTCTTGCAAAGTTCTCCACACGAGAAAGAAGTCTGCTGCAAGGACCAAAGTTTCTATTTAGTTTCTGATGCTTCAGTATAAAATCAAGCACACTTCATAGACCTCCACAGAACAAGGCCCCATTTTGAAAAAAAGGCTTCCTCATAAACAGCTGTTTAACATTGTGTAAAGAGATAACATTAAAATGCTTGTTGTGAACTACAGCACAAAGTTGAACCTACCTTTCAGCTAAGCTAATCAGAGCAAGGAGGGCACCCAAAAGCACATTGCTGTCTCTGGCAGATAACAAATTTACTAAAGTCTGGAAAACGAAACATGCAACAAAATAGGTAAGTATAAATTATACTCTTTTCTTTTACAACTCAAACACATATAGAGTTATTCATTGGAAAGTCAAAATTAAGACACCAAATCCTTACACAATATACTAAAAGTCTTAGGCACATTTAAAGTACACTTTAAGTACGCTTAAAGATACACTTAAATCTTAGAATACATCCAGTCTTAGGACAAGCAAGGATGTTTCCTCTCAAACTGCAACTAGCATCTCTCCTGACTGCTAAAGCATCCCTCCAACTTAATGTACCATTGTAAAAACCTGTTCCTGTGTAAAACACTTCAGAACTCTAAATCAAGGCCTCCTGAAGCAAAAGGTTAATTTTCAGCTTATATTTAAACAATGCAGTATGTAATTTAAGACCCTGCATATATTCTGTTAAAGATTTGTATTAAAGCAAATTTCATGTTTGTCTAGATTCTCTAAACATGTGTTGTCCAGTATTGTCTGATCACAACTGCCAATGTTTTACCGCAGCACAACAGAATCACAAAGCGCTAGTTATACTGCTCTCGATCTCTACGGTTTCTCAGCTTGGCCACAAAGCAGCAACGGTTAATTATAGATCCTTAGACTGGCGGTAATGTATATCAAGGGATGTTTATACTGTTGTTACTGTCTAGGTTGACACTGTTCCATTTAGATAGAGAATACTTTATAAGTGAAAAATCATAGCCGAAATTTATAAAAAAATTATAAATAAAACATATTTATATTAAAAATATATAAAACCATTTATATCATAGTGATATGTAGCTCAGGACAGTGTAAACATGAATACTAATTTTTATATGAACAAGTTTAGTCCAAACATTTAAGACCTATTTATCACAAGCAACCAATAACCATGCATCAGGCCAATTAACTTACATACAAGAAATAATTTTTATGATACTACTAATGCATCTGTAAAGAATATAACTGAGATTATCTTACTTTACAAGCTTGACAAGGTAAGGAATTTACTCCCACCTAGATCAAATCTGAAAAGCATAAGTCATTCAGTTAAGTAGCTAATTGGTTATAATTAGCAGTTTTATAAGGCACTTACTTTATGTGCTCCACTTGCTATAACCCATTCTCTTTGATCTTTAACAGCAGCAAGCTTTTGGAAAATGTCTATGGAACAAAGGAAGTCACATAAATTGAAGCTTTACCACTTAATATTTTTCATTTTACTAATCAGATAATAAAGCAAAACATTGGATAAGTTCTTTGAACCATGACTAGCTCATTTTACTCTGTTATTTCAACACATAAAGAGGTATTAATTTCCTGAGGAAATATTACTTATGTACGAAAACAAGATGTGATTCTCCACACCAATTTAAGTTTTTACTTGTGTAATGACGCCTACAACGAATCTGGTAATATCTTACTTAATCACCATCTCAAGTATTTAAAACATGTTAAGCCTCACACAAGAAGTTGTAAGTGCCCTTTTAATTTTTGTTATCAGCTATAACACTTACATGTCATGTTGACCAACTTGTCTACATTGTGCTGCTCTTCTCCGTAATCAAGATAGCTATTTGCTACTGTTTCCATACACTACAAGTAGGTGGGAAAAAAAAGGATATCATTAAAAATAGTTTTAATTCATAAACCTAGAGTGTCATGCACAGAAATAGCCTGTAGGTGGTGCATCTGTTTCACGAAAATGTAAGTCTGCAACATCCCACATACTTTTGCTGTAAAACTTGTCAGGGAACAGAAGAGATCTTGGAAGTATAAGAATTCAAAAAGCAAGTGTAAAATTCCATAGGAATAAAATCCACTGAAGACTATCAAATACAACGACCTGAATTCTAGGGCCAAATTTCCCTTCTTTGCAAGCTGCTAGAGGTTGATAATAGTTTTCTGGGGAATTATCACTTCGTGTTTCTGGTCTCAAACTTTTCCCTTAGCATCTATTATTTGCCACTGTTTGGAACAGCCAGATGGATCTTCAGTTCCCACAGCTAACAGGCTCAGACCCTACAAAACCCACACAAGTGCAGGAGGAGAATTTGGGGTTTGGTTTTTTATTTTGGACATAGTCAACTCTTTGGAAGTGGTGGAAACATGATCAGAAATAACCAAATAACTCTAATAACTAACTAGTCAAACATATTTTTCCAGAAAATGAGAATTATCAACAAGGATGTAATGTTTGTTAGTACACAAAATCATTATATGAGACTCTGTATCGCTTATAGGTTGTTTTTACATATGGTGGCATTTTGAAATTTCCAGAACACTGTATAGGGAAACTACAGCAGTTGCAAGCAGATGGTAGAGAGAGGCTAGAACTACAGTAGGAGCACACAATTTAGAAAAAAAAAAAAAAATCACATGAGGAGGACACTACTATGCTAAGTAATACTGGTAATAATAATTTTATTAGTGTTTTCTACTAAAACACCCCAAAACACTTTAAAATGAGAACAGGGTTTTTTACCTGAAACTGCACCCCAGAATGTTTTTAATGCTGTACAAAATCGTTTAATGGAGGACTTTAGATTTGTGATTTGGAAAGAAGATTTTGATTCACAATTTACCTTGAAATTACTGCCACCTTCCAAGTTTCTGAGGGATTTCTGAAAGTCTCAGCTATAACTTTTTTCAAACTGCATTTCAGAGTGCTGGAAACCCCATTAACACTTAACTTTATCTTATTGCAAAGGACACAAAAGATTAAGTTCCCCAGAAGTTCAGACATCATAAAAATTCCATCTCATGACTTTTTAAATTCTCTATGCCAGGAAGAGATGCACAGTAAAAATGATTATCATTTC